AAGGAGAAAGCTAACTTGCAAAAGCAAAGAGTAATTAATGACGGGAGCTAGCAGAGGCTCATTTAGTAACTTCCAAGTAAGTTCTCCTGGCGAGGGGGAGGAGGGATGAGGAAGGTGGCCTGCAACATAAAGATAAACCGCAGGTATTTAACTCACAATGCTCTCTGCCGAAGGACTGCTCATTACCATCAGATGCCGCGCTGGCAGTGGGGCCAGTTAGAACTAACTTTATTATTAGAAGCAATTAGGGAGAAAAGGGGCAGAATTTCATTTGGTTATTTCAAAACAAGGTTCTGCACACTGTTTAATGAAGGCCTGCAGTGTCAAGATAAAATGTGTGTTTTTCTGAAAACAGCTTTTGCAAATGAGTGCTTGTTACCAGCCGGTACCTGGGGCCAGCGAGCTGGGGTAGTCTGGGCCTGTACGAATTTTCAAACAGAATTATCCAGTTGTCTCAGCCGCACACACCTCCAAGCTCATGGGCGGGACTGGCCAACGGTGACTCCAGAGCCAGAAGATCCCACTCCAGGACCCATCTCCCACTTTGGTAGCTGAATGACCTTGGGTGACCTTCTGTAATTTTTCTAGCTTTAGTTTTTTGTTGTTGTTGTTGATTGCCGTAGAGTCGGGCGTGACTCATAGTGACCCTATGAACAAAAGGCCTGAAGCCTTGCTATAACTCTCGTCATTTATCAAAGTTTCTAGAGTTTCCAGAGGCGTGTTGTTTAGTATACTTGTATGTAAAGTGAGTATCATCGATTGGATTGTGTCCCTCTAAAACTTCTGTATGACAGAATATAGAAGCTACATAATGAACCCCCATGATCTAATAAACCAAATGGTTGTAAAAGGATTCATAGTGGAAAAGCAATACGTTTCAGTGTCATCTCAGCGCTAATCTGGTGTAAGAGCTGGAATAGTTATTACCTCACCAGCAATAAAAGGGGAGGAAATTGAGCAGAGGTGGAGACGGGGGGCTTGATACCATCAAGAAGGAATTGCCAGGAGTGGAGAGTGGCTTGTTGGACCCAGACCCCTCCTTTAGGAAGATGTTGATGTCAGGGAAGCCAAAGTCCATGGAACTCTCTAGGGAAGGCCCAGCACACAGCTGCTGAAGGAAGTCAGGACTTTCCCTCCCACTGGATCAAGAGAGAGCGGAAGCTTTCTCTGGAGCTGGCACTCTGGGTTTGAACTTCCAGACTCTTGGACTCTGGGAGAATTCATTTCTATCTATCGAAGCCATCGACTTAAGACGTCTCAGTTTTAGCAGCACTAGGTGACGATGACTGTGGGGATCATAAAGTGTGAATCTCCTCCTAGGGCTGCTGTGAAACAGAAAATGATCTCGTATGTGTGAGAAGAGCCCGGTGGTGCCTTGTAGACACTGCTGTCATTATTAACTATTACATTCAAGGATCAACATTTCATTGTAATAGTTTGCTTTGTCATTCAGTGCTACCTTTTGGAATCTTCTGTTCAGCTCTTTAGTGTCTTGAATCCTTCCTTGTGCTTTGGCTTCTCTACGTTCCAGTGCAATCTTTAGCGAGTTTCTTCTGACATCCATTTTGGTCTTTTCTTCCTCTTCTGTCTTTGTAATGACCGTTTGCTGTTAGGGACCTCTCTAAAGTACTCAAGAGCAATGGTGTCTCTTTGGAAACAAAGGTGCGTCTGATACAGGCCATGGTCTTTGCAATCACTTGTTATGCATCAGAGAGCTGGAAAATAACTAGGGAGGACAGAAGGAGAATTGACGTCTTTGAGCTGTGGTGGTGGAGAAGAGTATTGAATGTACCATGCACTGCCAAGAAAACAGATTCATCCTAGAGAGGGTTAAACCAGGCTACTCCTTGGAGGCAAAGATTCTGGGGCTTTGTCTGACATACTTTGGACATGTTGTAAGGAGAGACAAGTCTTTAGAGAGGGACATCATGCTGGGTAGAGTGGAGGGACAGCGCAGGAGGGGAAGACCCTCTATGAGGTGGATTGATTCAGTGACTGGGGTAATCGGGATGGGTTTGTCAAAGGCTGTGCAATTGGCACAGGATAGAGCAGGGTTTAGGGCTGTTGTACATAGGGTCGCTATGAGTCGCAAACAACTCGATGGCACATAACAATAACAACAACAACAACATTCAAGGATCAGCTTGGGCTGATTTATTTGTAAATGTTATCAGTGAAGACCTAGAGCTAGTAAAGGAGATTGTATTTGGTAGAGAGTCTAGGAAAACCCTCCATGAGATGAACTGAAGCAAGTCACAGTAGTCTTGGACATACCCATGACCTTGAAGCGCATACTGGACAAGGCAACCTTTGGCTCTGTTATACCTAAGGTCATGAGAGCTGGACCTGTCTCCATAGCTACTGATAAAATAACAACACACCCAGAGAACAATAGGATGGCAGGGTACAGGGAGAGCTGTGGAACATACATTAAAACACGTATTTGCTGTGTAGGGGGTTACTGTGAACACCAGTCAGTACTGGGTTCTTTCACATCTTTTGAATGCGGTCTATATGGTAAAGGATGAAAAGAGACGTGTCTTTATAGTTCTAAGAGTTCTGGTCTAAATACATTTAGACAATAGTTCAATTTCACTCTGGAATTCAGATGTTCTGCAGAGGACCGACTGCTCTGATGTTTGCTCATCCAGCTGTGTCCCAAGCTATTTTGCATTTCTCACCTTCACAGAGGGGCAACTTTGCCTAAAGTGCATGCTTTGCTTTACGCAGCCATTAAGGAGCCACCCTTACACCCTGAGCTCAGAGAAAGACTGCTTTCAGGAGGTTGGCTTAGAAGAACACCTCAAAGGGAACTAGGCTTTGGTTACAGAGTCCTGGGGCTTTAAGCATTGGGCAGGCAAATGAAAGCTCTGTGATGGAAACCCACCACCCACTCTGCAGGAGAGAGACAAGATGTATGTTCCTCTAAAGATACACGGAGTCACAAACCCCAGGGGCAGTCCTGCTCTGTCCCATGGGGTTGCTAAGAACAACAATGAACTTGACAGCACGGAGCTGGGTTTTTGATCTGTGCTTTGGCTAAGAAGCTCTCCTGGTGCAGCGGTTAATGGTCAGCTGCAAATTCCGAAGGTTGACTGAATGCCCCAACAACTCCATGGGAGAAATACATGGCCTTTTGCTCTTGTGAAGATTTACAACCTTGAGAATCCATGGGACAGTATGACTCTACTCAACTATGAGGGAGACTCTGAGTTAGAGGTAACTGACCGCAGTGGACTGGAACTTAACTTTCTTACGAATATAATTTTGGAGACCCCAAGAAAGGGACCTCTTATCTATGATTTCAAGGTATCCTCTATTCAGTGAGCATGTGGGCTATCTTCCGTTTTTTTTCAGAAGCTCCTTGCTTAACTTCTTCTGGTTGAAGACTGACTGGGTATAGATTTGTCTATTCATTTAGCAAAATAACCCTACTTACCCATTAGAATTTTATTTGCAAAACTGAGAGCCTTTAAGTAATAGAGCATGCACCATATATTAGACCCCTGTGACCAATAACACTCAGTATACAACTTCTCATTAGATTATATTAGCAACGATTCTTATTAAAATCTATTCACTATTGAAATTCTAAATTAACAAAGTCCCCTTGACACCTCTGCGTGTTTTCTAAGCTATTTATAACCCACTTCATTTCTCCCCACCCTGTTTCCCTAATTTAATTTATGCTCCATTAAATAATTCACATAAGATCCTTTTCCACAAAAGTTTATATTTTTGTATTGCAAATTATAAGAAAAAAGTTGGGAATGACTGGGAAGTGTGTACTGGTGCCACCACCTGCCTGCGAAGCCTGCCTGCCCGTTGGTAGCTTTCATTTTGAAATGAAACCAGAAGCTCTGTCAGCAGCATCACAAATACCAGCAGGGTCACCCGTGTGGAGAAATTTCAAAAGAACTACCCGACTACAATGACTAGGAAGAAAATGATGTATACTGCATTGAAACAGATGAGGGAGAGAACAGTTCAAAAGCGATAAATGATAGGGTATCATGGTTATTACAGGAATCCAGAATTAAGGTTGCACAGTGGGGTGCATTCTGGGTGTGGTGGGGAATTGTATACCATTGAAGGAGTTTATCTTTTGCTTTTCTAAGAGAAGAGAACTGAGTGGGGGTGGAGGTGGGGTGTGAAAAAAGTACAACAGTGAATGAATGGAAATCTAAAATATCTGTAAATGTTCATTAAAATTAATAAAATAAAATTAAAAACAAAACAAAACACAACAAAACAAAAAAAAGAGAAGTGCCTGGAGAGTTATTTCCAAAAAAATCAGCCAATTCTATAGGTCCCAACAGAACACAGCCCGATACAGGACCTGAAGATGAGACCCCTGGGTTGGAAACTCATTTTCATTTCTGGTGGGCTGGAACAAACCCACAGTTGACCCTCCAGCAGATTTCTGAAGTTATAAACTGCAAGGGAGGAGAATGATCCTCTTTCTCACTTGGATCTGCTGGTGCATTCAAACCACCTGCGAGGTGTGATCTTGGGATGTGCAGCGCAATGCCCTATGCCCTACATTACCAGAGTCCTCTGCGATGGAGGTATGCAAAACACCCAGGAGACACAACAATGGACTTAACTAGGGACTGTGGAGATGGCACAGGACTGGCCAGTGAGTCCTCGCAGTGAGTACACGCGGTCACTCTAGGCTGGAGTCCACTGGATGGCAATTAACTGTAGTAACATTCTTGATCAATGAGCTTATGAGCTTTGGAGAAATGTTCAGGCTGAGATTTCATTTCTCCAACCCACGACTGAATTTCCTCAAGCACAGTCCTCTTTTCTTCCTTGAGCATGCATACACATCTTATCACTAGAGCATTTCCTCTATGACAGACTCTGTAGAATTGTAAGGGATGGTTTCCTCAGTTATTAACACGCAAATAACGAGGTTAACTTCGGAACAGAATGGAGTGTGAGACACGGTGACTGCGCGGAGGTTATCAAAGGCGAGAGTGGAGGCTTGGTCTTACCCGGGACCTTTCTTCTAGCTTTGTCATCATGACGACTGTGGCACTCCGCTGCTCCCATATCATTCTCCAGAAGTCCCCGAACGTTTCGGGAAGCGAGCCCTGGGTTGCAATGTAAGCATTTTGTTTCCTGTAGCCATCTATGTAGTTGGCATTCACATAGTCACTGCCTGGGATACCTGCAAAACAAAGACCAGCGATTCAAGTAGGTGAACACATCTTAAGAGCCAGCAGCATGAGGCTAACAGCAGGGTTGTGTTATTGCTCTGACTGGTGACTAAGAGAAGTCACAATAAATCAAAGTTTCGGTTTTAAACAAGATTAAAGCTCACTGGAGTTGAGTCCATTACGATCTGTGGCAATGCTACGTGTCTCAGAGTGGAACTGTTCTGTTGGTGGTGGTGGTGGTGTTAAGTACCAGAAAGTCAGAAGTTATCCACGGCCGACTCTTAAGCAGGTTTTCAGAGGCAGGAAATTACACAGGAGATGGTTCACCTTTGTCCTGTGGAGCAGCTGGTGGATTAGAACTGCATACCTTTTGGATGTCAGCTCATCTCCTTATCACTAGGCCACCAGAACTCCCTGAAGTGTTCCACATGGTTTTATTAACGGAAATCTGTAGGAAAGCAGAAATCCAGGCCTATCTTTTGTGCACTGAGTGGGTTTGAACTGCCAATCTTTGTACTGTTAGGTGACACAGAGCTAATTCCAAGTCACAGTGACACCATATGCCACGGAACAAAGCAACGCTTAGTCCTCCATCATCCTTACAACTGGTACAGGGTTTGGCCGCCTGGCTGCAGCCACTGGGTCACAATCCACCCCACAGAGGCTCTTCCTCCTTTTCTCATGCTCTGCCTAGTCAGCATGATATTCTTCTGCTGGCATTAGACCCCTCTGCTGTGCCAGGTCAGACTGGAATCTCAGCAAAACCATCACACTGAAGAAATCTAAGAGTTAAGGAGTTGGTCTTTAGAAGAAGACAAGTTAGACTACCGAAGGGGGGTGGAAACCCAAACAAATGCAGCTAATGGTTTACGTCATGCCTTGTCTCAGACACTCTGCTTTCCCATTGCACCAGCAAAAGGTGGTGTGTAGAGAGGATATGCAATGTGGTTCCAGTCTTCTCTCACACTCTTCTCTAGATACAAAAGAAACACAAATGAAGTACAGCAGTACCCATGTGAAAATGCATATTCTATGACCGTGGGTCACAGGATAGCGAACATTTCCTTTCAGATTCAGCTAAGAGGGAACCCAGCAGCAGCCAGCAAGAAAATGCTGCTGCTCAAATGTAGAATGGACTCACTGGGGCTGCTCGAAGGACCAGAACAGGTGTGCTGTGCTAGTTAGGACGTTCAGCAGTGTACAGGACGTGCAGTCCACAAAGTGCACCCGTATTATAGTAATATTCTAATATATATATAAATAATAACTGACAGTCTACAAAGCACTTCTTTATTTAGTAACAATAATGAAAGTTAACCATTAAGGCACTTACATAAAATCCCAGCACTTTCTTAAATGCCTGCCATCCCCCCAGATCTCAGAGATATTGTGGATCTGGTTCCAGGCCACCACAATAAAGTGAGTGTTAACAATAAAGCGAATCTCATCAATTTTTTGGTTTCCCACAACATATAAAAGTGATGTTTATACTCTACTGTGACCTATCAAATGCATAATGGGATTATGGAAAAAGTCTACAATGCTGTGAGAATTCCTAAAATGTGACTTAGAGACCTGACGTGGACAGTGCTGCCGAGATCATGGCCTGGGCAGACTTGCAGGATGGCCACAAACCTTTATCTCTTGAGAAGCATGGTGTCGGCCAAGTGCAATAAGGTTAAGGCTACATGTACAGAGTCATGTCATCCTCACAACGGTCTTAGGAGACAAGCTCTGCAGTGACCTTCCTTTGAGAAAGGGGGAGACTGAGGTATGTTGAGATGAAAAGAAAATGTGACCAAGTTGGAAGGGTGGAATTCGAACACAAGACACCTGGCTGCTGCGACGGTGCCTTGAACTTTCCAGAGTGAGCGCCTCACATAAAACCCGTGATGCTGCGGTAACACCTGAATCTCTCCCTGGCTTAGAGCAATCATCTCCTAATTGTCCAATTCTATTTCAGCTCTCCCTGGTTTGTCCTCCAAATAGCCAGAGAACTGGTTCTGAACTCCTTCCCTTCAAGCCCAAGCGGCTTCCTATTATATGCCACATGAAATCCAGACCTTCCACATGACCTTACCAAAGTTATTACATCTGTTAGACCCCTACCTCATTTCCCTCAATCCTCTTCGACTCTAGACATACGAGCCACCTTCAGTGATACCAAAGCCAGGAAAAGACACCACCAAAATAGAAAACTATAGGCCAGTATCTCTCATGAATATTGATGCAAAAATCCTAAATAAAATACTGGCAAATAGAATCCAATGACACATAAAAAAAATAATCCACCATGACCAAGTGGG